CATTCATCTATTGAAGGGCATCTAGATTGCTTCCACAGTTTAGCTTTGTGAATTGAGCTGCTATAACATTGATGGGGCTGTGTTACTATAGTATGCTGATTTTAAGTCCTTTGGGTATAGACTAAGAAATGGGATAGCTGGGTCAAATGGTGGTTTCATTCCAAATTTTCTAGGCAATCTCCATATTGCTTTCCAGATTGGTTGCACCAATTTGCAGTCCCATCAGCAATGTATGAGTGTGCCTTTTCCTCCACATCCTCACCAACATTTATTGTTGTTTGTACTCTTAATGACTGCCATTCTGACTGGTGTGAGGTGAAATCTTAGAGTAGTTTTGACTTGCATTTCTCTAATTACTAGAGATGTTGAACATGAGAAGTATCTGTTCAGCTCCTTAGCCCATTTATTGATTGTGGGTTTTTTTTTTTTTTTTTTTGTATTTTTTTGTGGTTCTTTCTATGTCCTGGAGATTAGTGTTCTATCTGATGTGCATGTGGCAAAAATTTGCTCCAAAAATGTAGGCTTTCTCTTCACCTCATTGATTGTCTCTTTTGCTGAGAAGAAGCTTTTTAGTTTGAGTCCATCCCATTTATTAACTCTTGATTTTATTTCTTGTGCTTTAGGAGTATTGTTAAGGAAGTCAGGTCCTAATCTGAAGTGGTGAAGATTTGGGCCTACTTCTTCCTCTGTTAGGTGCACCTGGTCTAATTCCTAGGTCCTTGATCCACTTTGACAAAGGTTGAGTTTTGTGCATGGTGAGACATAGGGGTTTATTTGCATTTTGCTGCATATGGATTTCCAGTTCTGCCAGCACCATTTGTTGAAGAGGCGATCTTTTCTCCAATGTATGTTTTTGGTGTCTTTGTCTAGTATGAGATAACTGCATGTATGTAGTTTATCTCTTGTCTTCTATTCTGTACCACTGGTCTACCTGTCTATTTTGCTGCTAATACCATGCCATTTTTTGGTACTAGAGCTCTGTAGTATAGTTTAAGGTCTGGTATTGTGATGCCTCCTGTTTCACTCTTCTTCTAAGGATTGCTTTGGCTATTCTGGGAACCCCAGGTTTCTTTACTGTGCTCTATTGAATCTTTCAATTCTGTATCATGGGAGGCTGTGCTTTATGTGGTAAGATGCTTAGCAGCATCCCCAGCTGCTACCTGCTCAATGTCAACAGGAACCACCCAAAGTCCTCCAAACATGGCCAGATATCCCTTGCAGGCCCAAATCGCCACTAATGGAGAAAAGAACTAAACTTGACTGAAAGTCATTGTCTCAGAATCTGGAAGTGCTGCCCTCAGAAATTTAATGTGAGGACTTTATTTGAAGCACCTGTTTTCCCTGTTCATGGAGATATATTCGTACAGTTTATCTTTCTGGACTGACAGTTCTATGGGTTTCTCTCTGCATCTTGGTTTCAGAGTCTCTGACATGTTGTCCAACACTTGGAAACCTGCGGGCTCCAGCGAGTTCTGTTTACTTAGTAACACCTTAATTTTAATTTAAACTTATTTCAAGACAGACTATTCCAAATATATCTGTCAACATTGGAAAATCTGTTCAGCCACTTTTTTGGGGTCTTAAAACAGATAATTTTTATTTTAGTATATTTTAGGTTAATTGACTCCAAATTTTCATCTTAAAATTAGACATAGAGGGGCTGGGGAAGTGGCTCAGTGGTAAAGCACTTGCCTAGCATATGTGAGGACCTGAGTTCAATCCCAGCAGTGCAAAAAAAAAAAAAAAAAGACATAGAATTTTTGAAGGATGGAGGGAAATTAATATTTATTATACATTCACTGTAAGCATAGTATTAATCACTATATGTACACATGTATACAATTATATATATATGTATACATATAATTAAGATTTATGACAATTATATAAAGTATGAATTATGATTTCCCTTTAAAATTGAAAAACACTGAGTTTTGAGAACCCAGACTATCTAAATTCATGCAGCAAGAAACTGGAAAATTGGAATTAGAAGCCCCAAAATTCAGAATTCCAAGTTTGATATTTCGCTTTCCTGGTTTGGGTTCTCTTAAAAAATTTTTTTAGTTGTAGATACACAATAATTTTATTTTATTTATTTATTTTTCTGTGGTGCTGAGGATTGAACCCAGTGTGCCTCACATGTGCTAGGCAAGCACTCTACCACTGAGCTACAACCCCAACCCCTGGGTTCATTTTTTAATGCTATTGTCTGCTTTTATGGCCACTCTGACTCATCTGATTTGTTGACCTGCATTTGTGTTTGATTTTATGTTCTTCAACATGGAAGATATTTAAATGTATACAAAAAGTACAATGATCTATTGGATAACATGGCAGAACAAAACATCACTGCTTTCCTGAAAGAAAATCAAGACATTGATGATTTTGTGACGGTATGAACCCCTCTTGATATTTCATTCCTTAGTGATATGTGCTACAGTCAATCCAAAGAGTAGTCATCATGTTTCAGTAGGGTATATAGGTCTCAGTATTGGGCTGGTGTTTGCCCCGGAGGAGGCTGGGGGCAAATGGGTAAGAAGCTCAAGTCAAATCAAGCTGCTGAATGTGCTCCTTTCTGCAGAACATCAATGGCATAAAAAAGCGGAGAAGTGAAATTGCATCCATGCACATTACTGTGCCTTTAGCCATGTTCTGTCTTGACACCATGACCCTAAATTATGATCTCTGTGAGAGAGCCCAAAATCTCAAAGACCGTTTGATTCAATACCAAGTGGATGTAAATCGGGACACCAATTCCAGGTATCATCATTCTGTGTAAATAGCAATAATATTTTACATTAACCCAGAGAATCAAAAACCAGAACTTTGTGCCTTCCAGCAGTGACCAGGCTGAAGTTCTGATTCAAGTGTTTTCTGCCCCAGAGTGAGGATGACAGGGAATTCAGGTCCATTATATGAGAATAAACTTGCTGGTATACTGTTAAGATGGTGATTATGAATTAACTTGGTGCTCCATTTTACCATAAAATGTGAGAAGTTGTTGGTTGTGGTGATATTCTTACTGTTTTGGTCTACTCATGAGAATTGGTATGGTTTATTCATTAAGATTATGAGCTTTAGAGTCAATTAACCAAAATTTAGATCTTGGATCTGATACTTAGCAACTGTGTTGCTTTGGATGAAGTTACTCAGATTGATTTTCTTCCATCATCAAATGTAGATAATAATAGTACCTACCTTTTATAATTATTAAATAATTAATATATATAAATGGTTAGCATGGAGCATGGCACCTTGTGAGAGCTTAGTACCTGTCATTACCATTACCATTGTTACTATCCCTGGAGTGTGATGTGCATGTGAATATTATCCAGCAAGGGTTTGCAGGTAGAGAAAAGTTAGAAAACAATGGTGTAGTCTCTAAATAAGGATCATGTCTGCTTAGCATGACGGGTCTTACAAGAAGACATTTTTTATGTCAGTGATGATGATGCTGGTGGTGGTGGTGATGGTGATGGTGATGGCAGCCATTTCTTTCTCTGTAGCATTTGTAATCAGTACAACACCATTGCAGAAAGAGTCAGTGAGATTCCTGCCAACACTAAGGAGCTGGTACTTCTCATTGAATTCTTAAAGAAATCCAGTGATGTCACTGTGTTCAAACTCAGGAGACAACTTAGAGATGCAAGTGAGCGGCTGGAGTTCCTGATGGACTATGCAGATTTGCCCCGTAAGTCCAGGGCCACACGTGCATATGTATATTTACATTTTCACAGGTACATATAAGATAAAATATCTTATATTTTTAGGAGTAAGAAGCTGGAGGGGGAAAAGGATATGGGAATCCTACCACCAAATATTAGAAGAGCTGCTTTTCAGCTGCCCCCATGAGATGGAGGCACTAATTCCATACTCCTACCTGTGGGGATTTGATTCACAAAAGGGGAATATTGTTAGACAAAAGGAAAATGCATCTAGAACCTTGACATGTAGCTCTTAGATGCCTGTCTTGGGCATCTTATGTCTGATATTTCTGGAAATGTCAATTCCAAATGCAGACTCCTTAGATTTTACTTTTCTGTAATCTTAATACAGTCCCACCTTTGAGGGTACCAGGTTATATTCCTTTATGCTTCGGCATATCTTAAAAAGAAAAGAAAGGTTCAAAGCCCCTGAAGGCTTCTTGGGTCAAGTTAGAGTTTTGAAGTAAGGACTAAGCCCTGAGGGAAAAGTTGAATGCTCTCCACGAGCCCCTTTCCACCTGAGAACACCTGCATGTTACCTGGTGTTCACAGTGTGTATGAGGAGTGCAAGATGGGTACTGGAAGTGGAAAGGGGTTCCCTAACCCCATGCATACATTCATGAGCTGTGCCCTGGACCCTGGGCTCTCTCATTGTCTCTGCCTCCAAAAGTTACAAGGAAACCCAGTGCATTTAATTTGACCGAGCCATGATGGCAGGGCATCTGGCTTTGATACCATTACAGCCATTTAACCAAAGGGAAACTAAATTCAGATGAAGTAAATGGTTCGAAATGTTGAATTCAACCCAGGTTTCTGACTCTACTTAGCCAATAAAACAGAGTGGTTAGAACATAGACTTTGGGGATTATTATTAGACCTGGATTCAAATTCTGCTCTGCCGACCTCTAGCAGTGTAACCTTGACCACTTGGTTTAACCACTTTGTCTCCTATCTGTAAAAAATGAAGATGATAATATTATCTACTTTCTAGCCTGGCCCTTAGTAAGTGCTTAATAGATGTTGGCTAGCATTCATCCATCACAGTTCCATTCATTCATTGCCACCCTCCAGTGGCTTTGGTTGAACTTTTGACTTGCTGAACTAATTCCCCACATGCTAGACAGTGTCCTGGAGCACTCTGTCTTTGTTTTGCAGAAGAGGATATCAAACTGAACAGCACTCTGTTCCTCTGGCCAGATCAGATTGAAGATATCTTTGAAAACAGCCGAAACCTGCTCCTTAACAAGAGAGATCTGGCAGAAATGGACCTGATTAAAAGGTACAGGGAGAGTCTGGGGTTGTTTTGGAAATGAGACCAGACTTCATAACACTCCCAGCAGGTTACCAGTGCTGCATAGAGCACCTGCCATCCCATAGCAGTGAGTGGGTGAAGACTCAAGATAGTTGGTGGAGAAGGAATTTCCTTTGGCTTCCCACTGAGGGGTGTTCTCTTTAATCCTGCTTCACTGTAGTAATCCCTGCCAATGTCTTTCCTCCCTGTTTTGGAATAATTGAAATTTTGGCAGAGCAGAGAGAAATAGGCAAAAATAGTGACATGTAATAACGGCTTCCACAATAGCAACAGCAGAAGTGTCAGCCTGGCGTTGGAGACCACAGATCTGTGCAGTATCAAGACAGGGGACATAAAGGCACGGCAGGGGGCTGAGAAATTGACTGTTTTGCAGCTGGTCTTGTTCAGTGCTAATGTGGCTATAATCATTTTTTTCATTCACTCTGTGTCAATGGGAATTTATTGTGGATCTTTACTATGTGATGGGTTCTATTCTAGACATGCATGTGTTTGGCCATTAAATAAAGATTTTAATCCAGCGACAGAGAAAATACAGACATACTGAAAAATCTAACAATGTCAAGTCAAGGGAGCCAAGTGTTTTTCACATGATAGACACACACACACACACACACACACACACACACACACACACACACACCAGCTTGTAACACTTGGACCATGAACTACAGATTCATGCCAATTACCCTGTCTTCTTCACACATGAGACTCCCACTGCCCAACTTCACCTGCTGTAATCCCTGTAAATACTTTCAAGAAAGGAAAAGGGTGGATAAAAGTAGACTTCAGGCTGGGTGTGTAGCTCAATGATAGAGCACTTGTCTAGGATGTGCGAGGCCTGGGGTTCAGCCCACAGGACCATGAGAGAGGCAGACAGACAGACTCTATACAGAATGAAAGTTTGGCTTGAGGAGAAACCTGTTTATCTCCTACCTTGAAAAGAAGACCTAGATCTGTTCCCCAGGGGGTATAAAAATGTCTTTTTGTTTTCTCTCTTACAACCTTCTCCTTACCTACATGAATACTGTCTCCAGAGCCTGGAACTTAGCCTGATGGGTGGAGGAGATATATTTCTCAATTCATAGACTATGTTTCAATGCAGTTTTAGATCTGCTGCAAAACTGAGTAAAGAGTACAAAGAGTTCCCAGATAATGCCCCACACCTACTCACATACACAGCCTTCCCTGTGGAACTGACTTTTATGCTTAACCACAAAGCAAAACTATTTTGTTAGTTAGATAGATGCACAGAAGCAAGTTCCATCATCTCTCTGAACCTCAGTATCCCTCATCTGGAGGGTGGGATAACACTGCAGCCAAACATTGTGTTCAAGGATGAAATGAAATGAGCTCAGAGTGTGCCGATTGGTGTCTAGTGCATGGTGGGCATCAATGCTCTCAGCTTCCCCCTTGCTTTTAACAATGATCCCTTTGGGTGAAGAATGCTTTTGAACTTCCAGACTGCTGCCTCCTCGAAGGTGTACTTTAGGATGCAGTACCCTGGAGGCAGAAGTGCTGTTGGACTTAAGAGGAGTGAGGATGGACCCTGGGGAAAGTGGGAGCAGCTGTCACTTATGGTGAGAGGAGAAGAGAGCCGGGCTTCTCCTTTCTGAGAGCTCTCAGCTTGATCCTGGCATCTGGTTCCTGGGCTCAGCAGTAGAGGCCACAGAAGAGCCATCTGGAAGAGGCTTACCAAGCAGCCCTGGCCCAGCCCTCTCCTTGCTGACCTTAGACATCCATCCTGTCTATAATTTTGAACTAACCTTGGGGGCGTCCTGGGAGGAGGGTTGAGTAATATTCATGTTTCATCTGTCGTCTATGAAAACAATCCTGTTTCCTCTCCAAGAAGCTTGAGCTCGCTTTTCCAGCCCTCATTAATTTTTGGCTTCCATGCCAGTTATTCTCCTTGAGCTGCTCCCACCTCACCCTGCTGTCCATTCTCCTCCTGCTCTGTCTGAGAGGCTGACGTCCAGACTGTGGCCTCCAGTTCCCTCATCCGTGGGATCCTGCCAGTGGAGACTCCTACAGAAGGCTGGAGAGGGATTGGGGGCCCTTTTCTCCTTTCCCTCTCTGCTTGGCCCTGGGGCTCTGGGTGGCAATGCCAGTTGCTCTAGGGTTTCAATTCTCCTTGTCCCCTCATGCCTAGGGGTCATATGGGTTCCCCGCCAAGGAAGGTCTCTGGGTGCCTACTATGTACTGTTTTGTTCTTTTAACCATACCAGTATTTTACCTCTGTAGGTAGTCCCTTTGTTGAAGTATCTTAGAACATCAGAGATAATCCCATTTCCTGCCAGAATTCTGGCCAATCCACCATCTTTAAATTTTTCTATTATCCTTCCTTGGACTCCAGGTGGTCCCACAAGTACAACTCACTTACTTGACCTAATTTCCTGAGTGAACTATTGTATAGAAATTTGTATATACATACATACACACATACACATTTATATACATATATGCAAATTGATGTGTATATACATATGGGCTTAAAAAATTCTAAGAAGAAATTATATAATAATGTACATTAGTTATCTATTGAGGTATATCAAAACATAACAGATTAGAATAATTAAAAAATGATTATCTCACAGAATCTGGATTATAAATTGAAGTGCAGTTTAACTATATGCCTGTGGCTCAAGGTCTCCCATGGAGTTGGCGTCAGGGTCTGAGCCAAGGCTGTGCCCTCATCTGAGCTGGGGAGGACCTCTTTCTGGACCTACTCACATGATTCAGTTCCTCATGGGCTGTTGGCCAGAAACTGCCATCTATTCCATGCCACAGGGTCTCTCCCCAGGCTAGCTCAGAGCACAGCAGCTGTTTTCCTTCAGAACAAGAGAGAAAGAGACCAAGAGAAAGAATGAGAAAGCAAGATAGAAGTCAGTCTTCCTGTGAGCTAATCTTGGAAGCGACACCCCATCCCTCTTGCCATATCTGTCTGTAAGAAGTGAGTTATTACACAGGGTAAGAACACCAGGAGGTGGGGATCCTTAGGCTGCTTCCCACGCAGTGCAATTAGAAATAAACCCAAATCAAATCACTTGAAAATAACTCTCATGCTCCTAAGGAGGGAAAAAAAAGACATTAAAACTGCCATAACAGAATTAAATATTTTTAAGATAATAGCCAAATTTATGGAGTGTCACTGAAGCTGTTCTCCATGGCACCTCCCCTTGTTTATTCAGCGGATATTGATTGTTTGCCGCGTGTCAGTTCTCTCTGCCAAGTGCTGGGAATACAACGAGGAATTAAGGAGGCAAAAGCTGTTTTTATAGATTTACATTCCAGTGAGTGAGAACTTATATAGTAGTTATTCTGCAGCAGGTTCAATTCTGAATGTTTTATATTAATTTACTATTAAGTAAAAACTTTTTCCTCTCTCTGTTTTCTTTCTTGGAGGCATGGAGAGTTTAAGTGACTTGCCCTGGTCTACATAGCTATGAAGTGGCAGTATAAGCATCTGAACCAAGCCTGTCTGGCTCCAGACCCTGTCCATGAAGCACAATGTTATTCTACCTGATTAGGAAAAGGGAGAAGCAAGTTTGAGATTTGCTTTGTTGATCCAATGGATGAAGTAGATAAATCTCTGTAAATGCTCCCTGCCCACAGCTGCCCCAATCCCCCTAGCTGAAATAGCCCTCCACCAACTGATCCCCTAACCACTGTGTTTTGTTTTCTTTAGAGTATTTATCACTATCAGGAATATTTCATTTCACTTTTATCCTCCTGTGGATCCATCTATCCATACATCCATCCATGTTTATCATCTAGGTCTCCCACAATTAAAATATGTGTTCCATGAAGATAGACAGCTTAATAACATACTTCACAGATTTATTTATGATGCTTAGACCAGTTCTGGAATGTATTCAGTACTCACTAATAAATACTTATCTAATAGCCAAATGAATAAGCAATAGGTACATACATACATTTTCATATTTACCTGCTTACCTGTCTGTATAGGAAAACATCCGGAAATGTTTAATCACAGATAGGTTCACAGCTGATCCATATCTTGTAAGTGTAATTATAGGAATTATCTTCTTCTTCATTTATTTTTAGATAAATAAAGAAGTAGAGAGAGAGAGAAAGAGAGAGAGAGGGGAGTAGGGGGATCTGCAGATGCCAGATCAACTTCTTCCCAGAGTGAGCAATGAAAGATCACTAAATGGAAGATCCCCATGTGACTGGGCTTTTACTTTCAGGTGCTCAGAATTTGAGTCAAGACTGGAAGGCTACAGCAAGGAACTGGAAGGCTTTAGGAAGCGGGAAGTGATGACTACAGAGGAAATGAAGAACAACGTTGAAAAGCTTCATGAGCTTTCAAAGAACTTGGATCAGGCGCTGATGGAATTTGAGGTTTGGGATCATGGAACGGGGACTTGTGACTCTGGTGATTCTGGTTCTTGGTCTTATATTTTCCCAATGACATCTGTCAGGTGGATAGTATTGATTGATTGATTAATTGACTAGTTCTTTCATTGGTACTTTCAACTATCTTTTTCTACACGCCTACAACAGATTTTTTTTTGTAAGCCATATGCGTACACAAAGAAGATATAATAATGTAATTGCTTACATGTGTTGAGCATTTATTACGTGCTCAGTGACATGCAAAGGGCTCCCATGTATGATATCTCATTTAATGCCTGCAGCAAACTCTTGGGGCTTGTTATCCCCGTTTATCTCTATTTGAAGTGGGAGACTAAAACTTGCAGTCACTAAAGTAACTTTCCTCAAAAGATCAGCTGGTAAGTTTGTTTAGCCATTACAGTTCTCTGAGGCAAGTCCACCTAGGAAGGCCTGGAAACAGTCTTATAAACCACTAAAACATGTACAGAAATTAGGAAAAAAGGCCAAGTCATGGTACATTGGAAACAAAGATGATGGATCAAGCAGCAAATTATCCTGTAGTATCTACCAGCTGGATCTTGGCTGCCCTGGCCCTTGAAGGTAGTAGAGGGACCTTCTTGCTGGAGTCAGTATCTTATTTTCTTTTTACTCTCAGGTGAGGGAGCATCTTCCTCCACTGGGTTTTCAGTGTGCTAAGGAACTTTCCCTAGAGGCTTTTAGGGTTCAGGGAACTACCTCCCTGATAGACAGAATCCCCTTTTGTCCTGCAGTTGATCAATAAAGAGGAAGAGCTGTTGGAAAAGGAGAAGAGTTCATTCCCACTTCTGCAAACCTTGATAACCAACAAAGTACCTTACGAGCAGCTGTGGGTGACGGCCTACGAGTTCAGCACCAAGTCCGAGGAATGGATGAATGGTATGGCATGTTCTCACTCCACAGGGACAGAATGGGGATGGGGAAGGGGGTTCCCCTTTCAAGCAGTTCTGAAATAAGGTCTAATGCTAGGTGCAGTGGTGCGCACCTGTAATCCCAGCGACTCAGAGGGCTGAGGCTGGAGGATGGCAAGTTTGAGGCCAGCCTAGGTAACTTGGTGAGACCCTGTCCCCAAAAGTAAAAAGGACTGAGAACATATCTCAGTGGTAAAGTGCCCTTGGTTCAATCTCCAGTACAAAAAAAAAAAAAAGGAAAAAAATAGGAAACAAATAAACAAAGGTCTTCTTTTCATATTCTGGCTGGACTTTTTATCAAATTCTGACACTCCAGGTTAAAACAGCCACAGTCAACATTTTCTGATATGATAACAAAGGAAAGTGTGGCTCTAAGTGCCAGAACTGTTGCCAGAGCAGATAGGATGGGCAGTGCCCAGAGCCAGGGACCAGAGAGAGGCAGATGCAGGGAGAATGAGGTAGGAGAAGAGCCAGTGTGCCATTGACCATAAGTCACCTTTTCCTCTAGCCTCTGGAGGTAGGGTGGAATGGAGAAGGTAGAAGCAATAAGACTTCATGATTGAGCTGATATGGAGTAAGGGGCAGGAAGGGAGAGGGGAGAACCCAAGGTGACTTCCAAATTACTAGCTCAGGCAATTTGGTAGGCTTTGCCTTCACTGAGCAGAGAAGTGACAAATTTGTTAGGGAAAAATTACACTTGAATACATTGATTTTGATATGTCTGAAAACATCCAAATGGAAATTGTTTTAGTTACTTTTTAGTTGCTGTGACCAAAATACCTGCCAAGAATGATTTTAAGGAGGTCAAGTTTATTTGGTGGCTCATGGTTTCAGAGGTCCCAATCCATGGTTGGACAACTCTGTTCTTCAGAGACCCAGGAGAGGCAGGACATCATGGCAGAAGGATGTAATGAAGAAAAGTGGCTTGAGACATCACACCAGGAAGGAGAGAGAGAGACTCCATTCATCACATACAAAATATATACCCCAAAGGCACACCCCTCCAGCCACATGCCTACTGCCTTCAGTTACCACTCAGTTAATCCCTAAGGAGATTAACTCACTGATTGGGTTAAGGCTTTCATAACCCAATCATTTCACCTCTAAACTCCTGCATTATCACCTGCATTATCTCACACATGAGCTCTGGGAGACACCTAATATCTAAACTGTAACAGAAATATTAACTCAGGATGGACTTTAGGAGATGGGTTTGGTGGAGTGGTTTATAGGGAGTAGTTGATGTGCAGATGATAATTAAAGGCATGAATGAGCAGAGGATAAAATTGGGGACCCTTAGCTGATTTCTGATACTTCAGTATTGTAAACACAACTGAGATGAAGGTCTTTACTGCATGTTTTCTGGACACCACAAGGATGGTTTACTTAGGATGAATTCCTGAATGTTAAATGGCTAGATCAGATGGTATATTATCAAAATTGTTAAGATTTAAAAGAATGCTTTAGTTATTGCCTTCCAGAAAAGTTATACATTTTAATTCATTCTTCTAATTGCATTTTTAAGAGTACCCAACAAACCTAGTAATGAATGAATAGCTTTGAAAAATTTTTTTTTGCCAATGTGATATTTAAAATGCTATATTTATTTTTAAAAAGTATTCTTTCCCTTAATTACAATTGAAGTTGAATGTTTATTGAGAAGTCAGATTCCTTGTTTCATAAACATCCAGGAAAAGAGCTTCAGACAAGATGCTGTCTGCCCTTAGCCTGATTCCTAGCAGAGAATCCAAATATATCACGTCCTCTGTGCCTGACTCAGCAGTTGAGGGGGAACTGTGGCCCGGTAAAAAAAAACCCAAAAAACAAACAAAAAAAACCCCACCTAGTTTATTCATCCTACTTGTAAATTCACTGGTAATTCGGCCAATCCCTCCTAAGCAGAAGTTACTCCTTTCATGTAGGTGCTTTTCTGTTCTAAACCAGCACCTACAATGTTTCTGCTGCACAGATGGCACCCACATGTCTGTTTCTTTTTTTAGTTTTAATTTTTGATTACTCAATAAAAATGTTGAGTAGATGAAGCCTGTTGAATAAACGAAGCTACATTTAGTCCAGGCAATCCTGAAAGAAACATGGTTTTGAGTAAGTTAGCAACATCATGATGTAAGTGTTAATGCTAATTTGAAATGTCCAGGGGGACCCAGCAGCATGCTCAGATTTTGGCTGACTGTGGAATCCAAGTGCTAAAGATTCCCTACAAAAATAAAGACAGAGAAGGAAATTAATGCTCTGAAGCACTTTTTTTTTTTAAAGAAGGTATCATTCTTTGTTTTATAAATAATTTCAAGTTTATATAGAAATTGCCAGAACTACACAGAGGGCTGCCATACCCTGTTCACCTGCATTCCCTGTTATTTCACAGCAAGTTGGAACTCCTCTTAATGCTACTAGGAGAGCAATTGAAAATCATAACAGCTGCCTTCGCTGTACATTCGTTACGTGCCAGGTGTGATGGGAGTCACTCATGTTGTCTTGTGTCACTTTCCCAATCATCCTTCATGGTGTCCATTATCACCCCTGTATTACAGGCAATACTGTCAAGGCTTAGACAAGTTTGATAACAGGCCAAGTTAGACTGGCTACCTGGAGGTTTCACCCCAGAGCCCATGTGTGTTCCAATGTCCTGTTGACTGGCTCAATCCTAAGTTCAGGGAGTTAAAGGCAGACAGGACAAACATCTACTTCGTGGACTGACCCTTCTTCCCTCACCCCATCTTTTCTGTTTCAGGCCCCCTCTATTTACTGAATGCTGAGGAAATCGCAGAGGAGATAGGGAACATGTGGAGGACGACATATAAATTGATCAAAACCTTTGCAGATGTGCCTGCACCCAAACGCTTAGCAGAGAATGTCAAGATAAAGATCGAAAAGTTCAAGCAACACATTCCTATCCTCATCATTGCCTGCAACCCGGGAATGAAAGATCGGCACTGGCAGCAGGTTCTTATCATTGCCTGTCCCACTGCCCCAGCCCTCGCCTGGTCCCTGTGGCCCTTTGGGAGGCAGGAAACATGGCTGTGTTGAGCTTCTCCTTGCTGAAAGGAGAATCTACTTGAGACCAAGGGAGTGGAGATGATAGCCCTGGAAGAAAGGGAATGGGTGGGATATAGAATGAACTTCTTGCCTCAAGATCAGGTTGAGCCTTCCCTTAGGACCTGTTGCTGGTTTCTTGAATATTATTCGAGCCAGTGGCTACAAAGGGTCTCCTTGTCTGCTTTACTGGAGGTCCTAACGAGTGATTAGAGTGTTAAATTACAGATGGTTTGTTCCTTGACCTAGCATACACTAAAAAGAATTGCTTGATTCCTGCTCAGGCTGACTCTGGAGTGCAGTTTCATGGTCAAACAGCCCATATTCAGAAGTAATTTTGCACTCCTCTTTCAGCCCTTTGAGCCTATGAATGAGAATGATAAATATTCTTCATAAAAATAGTTAGGATTTTTATAAGCAATCAAGTGTGAGATTGATAAGTGTGGTGTGAGCATTAAGCCGAAAAAGAAAACTCACTGTGTTTCTAAAATAATCACCATACTCAAGGGCTAGCAATGGCCTTGAAATGTCCATTCCAGGAAATTGCTCCCTGTGGAGGTAGAGACTGACTTCCCATGGTAAGCACTTCTCTGACTTACCCGAAATTCCTTCTCTCAGAATCATGGTCAAGACTGAGGACCTTGACCCTGGAAGAACTCAATCTGATGTCACATGCATTACCTTTAGGGGTATGAACTCCTGATCCCAGTGGTTAGGAACGTTTTGGTCCCTCCATGAGGGTCTTGATACATGAAAGGTTCAGGCTTCTTCTGTAGTGAGGAACTACTTTCAGTTTCTCTGAAAGCTTTGAGACTGAAGACCTAAGAAAGACATGGGAAAGGTCAGCGGGTGTGGACTCATGGCCTTGGAATGCCCCTGCAGGGGATCTGCAAAGAGTGGCTGTCCTCACTTGGTGCCACAGGGCTCCTGTCCTATGTACCTAGCTGAGCTAGAACTTAGACCTGCTTTGGGGTTTCAGAGGTTGGGTGGACAGGTGACCTCTGTTAGTGCCGAGTTTCTCTATGAGATGGCATTATCAAAAGTAACCTCATAGAAGACATTTAAAGAACACTCTTGGGGAGGCCTCCATTCCCTCCCACTTGGTGCTCCCTCTGTGATGACACTTTTCTTACAGGGAGAACTTTAAAAAACCCAGCCACTCTTAATTCTCATTTAAAGACTTATATATTGGGCTGGGGTTGTGGCTCAATGGTCGAGCACTTGTTAGCATGTACAAGGCACTGGGTTTGATTCTCAGTGCCACATATAAATAAGTAAATAAAATAAAGGTCCATGAACAACTAATCAAAATATTTTTTTAAAAAAGTCTTATATAAACAGATTGGGAAAAAATTGTTCCTTGGAATTAGAGTCCAATAATGGCAATAATAGTGAAAACGTATCCAGTAACAGCTGCATTATGGGTGCTCTGTTGCTTACATTATTTGAATTATCCCATTTTATCCTCACACCAACCCTTTGAAGTAGGGGCTATTATTATCTCCATTTCACAGATGGGAAAACTGAGATTGGAGAGATTAAGTCATTTGTCACATAGCTAGTTGGGGGACAAGGAGGAAATGAGAATTCGGTTCGGCTCAACTACAAAGACAAAAAGAGGGCAAGAAATGTCAGGCAGAGGAAGGGGGCTGGCAGTAGCGGGGCAGTAAACCATAGGGAAAAGTGGAGTGTGGCCCCAGGAAGGTGACTCCTGAGCTATGAGCCTCGAAGGTGGAAGCCCAATGGGCTGAACAGGAAAAGGTGGGCTCAGAAAGGACAAGGTCTCCAGGTGCACTCAGGGCCATCTCCACTCAAGAGCCCATGTCTTCAAGTTTTGTAGGTCGTACCAGTGTCCCATCCCAGTGACGGCTCCAGGCCTGGGGAAGCCATTGTCTTCCTTGATGCCTAACTCAGGAGATGTATTTGTATAGATTCTGGCTCTGGCAGGAGGTTCTGCAGGTGAAACTGTTTGTAGCTCCAACGTTAGAGAGATCTTCTAGAACCACAGAGTGGCTGTGCTGTGGTTCCTGGCCACTCATCAGCACTTAAGCAGGAAAAACTAGTGAGGCATAAACTCTACAAATGTCAACAAAAGAGTTGCTTCTGTGGTTTAAAACAAGATGGAACAAGATAACATTTGACCTTGGAAAGGAATTACACTATTCTATACCAAAGCTGGCACTCAGACTAGAACAGTGCTGTCCAACAGAAAGAAAGAAAACATAAGCTATACATAAATTTTAGTTTCTAGTAGCCACATTTAAAAAAAGGATACAGGCAAAATAAATTTTATGAACATATTTTTTAAAAAAGCACATGCCTGTGTTCTCAGCAACTTGGGAGAGTAAGGTAAGAAGATCACAAGTTTGAGACCAGTCTGGGCCACTTAGCAAGACCTTGCCTCAAAATGAAAAATAAAAAGGGCTCTGGAGATATAACTCAGAGTAAAAGCACCCCTGGGTTCAATTCCTAGCACCAAAGAAAAAAAAATTAACCAAATATACTCCAAATGTTAACATTTACATATTAATATAATAATGCTAATGTGAAATATTTGTAATATGGCATATTTTTATACTTTGCACTTTAGCCACATTTAAAGTACTCAAAAGCCACAAAGGGCTAATGGCTACACACTGGTCAGTGTAGATCTAGGCTTTTAGAATTAGAGAACTAGATGTTTTGTCAATCTTTAAAATCAACAAAAGCAAGTAAAAAAATAAAATTACCAATCTCTGAGTTATTTCTATGGACCAAGCACTATGCCAAGTGCTTTACATAGCTGTGTCCTTTAGTCTCATAGATATTGTGTTACTCTGAGCTACTCTTTCAGAGATGTAAGAGAATAACGAAAACAGGGTCACCAGGGTAGGTTGTCTATTGCACTAACTCTAGGAAATGCTATTTTTGTGTACTACAGCATGAACTGTGCTTTCTAGAGTTTTGCAGTATATAACTTGCACAACTGTACATAGGAAGACCTGTGAGAGACAGGATAGAGTTTGATGGATAAGAGCTTTGGAGTCAGGATTCGATTCAAGTCCCAATTCTGCCATTGATTAGCTGGGTATTATTGGACAAGATAATTAATTTCTTTGTCTCAGATTTTTTATATGTAAAATGGGAATAATAATACACAAGTATCTTCCTCATTATGCTGTGCAAATTGAATAAGTGCATACAGCCAGAAATAGGAGCTGCTACATAATAAGCCCTCAATAATTATTGGTTCCTCTTGTTATTTCCATTACCTTAGCAGCCCTCCAGGTGGCCTCAGAACCCAGATTGGAAGCCATTTGAGTTAGCTGGTCCATTGATGTTTTCACTCCATAAATACTTACCTGTGCCTACCAAATGCCAAAGACACCAGGGACACAGGGATAGGTGATAGTGTGACATGGCTCCCATGCCCCTTCTTTCTCTGGCTTTCTTTAGTCCTCTGGGGGCTGGACAGAGACACAATTGAATAGTAGGTGAGGTTTTTCATAGAGTCTCTCCCCCGCACCAGCCTCCATCTTCCTTCCAGTGCACAAGTCCCTCACACTACCCAGATCTTTCAGCCTCTGAGAAGTGTTCAAATGCCACTAGAGTCTTCAATTATGTCCCTTCTTGGGGATATTTGCACTTACAAGGTAAGCCTGAGGCAGCATTTATACCAGAAGGATTTCCAAAAAGCACAGTGGGCATAAAAAGGGAGGCATTTTGAAGGGGGAGTCCCTCCTCCTTCCCAGCATCCCCAGGTCACAGAATGTGGGAGTCTGCCTGTCTCATGGATTCATGACTTTCTCCCTTTATTTAGCAAAGGACATTTCCACCACCACAGAAGGTCCTATAGAAAGGTGTCAGCTTGGATGAAGACACTTGTCTCCTTTTCTTTGCAGATCAGTGAGATTGTTGGCTATGAAATAAAACCCACAGAAACAACCTGCCTCTTAAATATGCTGGAATATGGATTCTGCAAATACGTTGAAAAGTAAGGCTCATTCCTTCCTTCTGGAAGGTTTTTGGTCCACGTATCTGTAAGTTCCCACATTGATGTGATTGACCTCATATTAGTCTTTTTGTTTTCTCCTTGTAGCTTAGAGTGATTTAAGATTGCTAGTAGTCTTGAGACGGCTAAATGACTTAGTACTAGTGAAGATTGCATCTCTAGCTGCAGAACTGTTGCTAGAAATATCTAAAAAATTGTCAGGGATATTATTTCAAAGGAAAATTTAAAAGAAAAAAAAGGTTTTTTTGCCATTGAATATGAACTTCAAACCCAGCAATCAGTGACTTTGGGGCAAAACCATGCAGCTTCCTGGCCTCAGTTTCCTCTTCTTTAAACAAATGACAATGGACTGAGAGTGGCCTTCTAAGCTCTAAAATCCCATAAAATGTGACCAATAGGAGATATCTTTACTAGCTTTTTCTCCTTCTCCAAACACCCGTGGAATTTCATTGTAAGAATTTGTACTATTTGAATTGCTTTTTTTTTTTTTTTAATTAAAGGCTCTCAAGGCCCTGTTTGCTTTTCCACACTTCATTCAGGTGATGAAAGGAAAAATTTCATACTGCTGGGACTGGAGACACTGTTAGGCAGCTGGGTTCAGGTCTGATGGGATGCCTGTGGTTCTCAGAGTGTGGGACACAGAGCTATTGCATCAGCGTCACCTAGGAACTAGTTAGAACTAGCTAGAAATGCACACACTCAGGCTCCACCACAACCTGCTGAATCAAATTCTGCAGATGGGCACCACCATCTTGGTTTATCCAAATCCACCAGGTCAGCACTGCCCAGGGCAGGAACCACTAGCTACAAGTGACAGATAAGCCCTTGAAATGTAGCCGGTCTAAGTTCAATGTGCTGAAAGTTGTAAGTACAGCCTGGATTTCAAAGACTTATTAAGAAAAAGAGAATGCAAAAATAGCTAACAATTTTTAATATTGACCATATGTTGAAATGGTAATAATTTTGGCTATAGTGAGTTAAATAAATTCCTGATATTAATCTCATCCATTTTTTAAAAAATGTGGCTACTAGAAACTTTGATATCATGCATGTTGCCCTCAGTGCATGATGGACAGCTCTGGGCAATACTGGTGCTTGCTGGACTCTTGGAACTCCTCCCCAATTCTGTAGCAGACAGGTTCAACCCAGGGGCTTCCCAGCCAAGTCTCTCTGCCATCTGAGTGCTCTGATGCCCTTTACCTCCAACACCACTATTACTGTCCCACATTAAGGATCAGGTCTAAAGACATACATTCCTACAAGCTTAGGTTGTAGTCAGCCCTCAGTAACCATGGCTCCCCATCTGTAGATTCAAATAACTATGAGCTGAAAATATTCAGAAGAAAATTTGTGTCGGTACTGAACATGTACAGACATTTTTCCTTGTCGATATTCCCTAAACAATAAAACAACTAATGACATACCATTTGCATTGCATTAGGCATTAGAAGCAATCTAGAGATGATTTAAGGTCTATAGGGGTGTGGGTGCAAATTCCATTGCATATATCAGTTGTTGGTATAATTAAATAAGACAAAACACAACATGCCTCATGAACAACCGTCAGGTATGACTGAATGCAACTGGTTGCACAGGAGTGGGATTAATCATGAGACTTGGAGCATCCTTGAATTTTGTTATCCACTGGAGATCCCAAAATCCATTCTCCGCTGATACTGAAGGACACCTGTATTTTGTTAAATTTTCCCTCAATAAGATGTTTCCAAAAGATACCAGTTATTGAACACTTAGGCTGCACCAAGCATTTACATACATTAACAAATTTATTCTTCACAACATCCTAGTATTCTAAACAGTACTCTTTTCATTTTACAGATGAAGCTGCAAAGTGACTAGCCATCAGTAACAGCTAGTAATTGAGAGAACCAATATTTTAACCCAGGCAAATAGATTCCAAACCTGAACCCTTACCCTTTACTGCCTAAAATATTCACTCATCTAAGGAGACAGAGACTAGGCAGACAAATATACAGCTATTTTTCCTTATTCCACCTAAATGTGCTCAGGTGTGCCAAATCTAGAAAGGGCAATGCCTTCACCACATTGTTTAACACTGTGAGCCTTGGCCTCCTTGTCGGCAAAATGTGAAGAACGATGGTAGCTGGGAGATTCGAGTTAGTATAAGAATTATCAGATACAGCATTGTCTTTGTAGCTTCCTGTTGCTATAACAAAATACCTTAGACTGGGTAATTTATGAACAACAGGAATTTATTGCTTTCATTTCTTGAGGCTGGGGAATCCAAAATCTAATTCTGGCTGATTCAGCATCTGGGGAGGGCCCAGGGATGGCACCTTTGGGCTACATCCTCACATATAGGGTGGGTAGTGAGCTCCCTCGAACTTCTTTTATAAGGGACACAAATTCCATTCATGAGAACTCTCATTAATTAACCACTTCCCCAAAGGCCCAACCTCTTATAAAGTCTATCACATTGGGTATTAGGTTCCAACATATGAATTTGGGGGGACAGTTCAAGCAGACTATAGCAGGCATGTAGCCTGATTTCATGTCCAGGTATCCAGTCATGTATTAGTGAGTTGTGATGTCCCCTGTGTCCTGCTCACACCATAGTTAATGTACCCCTGTCCCACCCCATAACTAATGAGCTTCTCTGGTGAGGTCAGCTCCTGATATACTTTCATGGATTCCCTCCTTTGTATGATCATTTGCATTTGAAGTCATGTCCAAGGTTTGTTCTTAAGGCACATTGCAAGTATTTTGTCTTATTTAATTATACCAACAACTCTATGATATGGGCAGATGGTGACCTGAGGCCTGTCAGGTGACTTGGCCTTGGCCACACAGTCAGTGGGCGTGGAGACCGGGCTTTGTGAACTCCTTGTCTGGTGCTTATCTGGTTGGCACCTGCCTTCTAAAATTATTCTCTCTATGCATGTTCATGTTGGTTGTCTCCCAGGGGCTGCGTTAGGATGATGACCGCATCTGGGTCTTGATTAACCATTAACTGGAATCACCCATGGCTAGTCTGCCTCTCTTCACAAGGCCAGATGAGGGTTCTCAGCTGTGTTTAGTCAGTCCTATTTGATGGACCAAATAGGGCTTTGGTTCCTCCCACAAAGAAAGGGGAGGAGACCCATCATGAGGTGGGGAAGAATACCAGATTAGAAGTCACAGGAACTGGTGTCTAGAACCATTTTCCAGCACTCCCCAGCTGTGTGGCCTTGGACATGTTACTTGTTTTCTCTGAGCTTCAGCTTCCTCTGAGTAAAGCCCAGGTGTAGTCTACACAGCACGGACACAGAGAAAGATAAGGACGGAGTCCAAGAAAGTAATCCCTGCTTTGCTTTACAATTCTTCGGCTTTGCCTGGGTTTGAGGACCCAGATTTCTGTGTGGAAACAAGAAGAAAGGAATCTGTCTTCCCTTTCTCTCTCTGACTTTGGAACAGGGGGACTGTAAATGGGTTGACCCAGAGTATCAGGAAAGTAGCAGGTGTTTTGAAAAGGGAAGGGAGGAGACATGGAGCAAACTTCATCATGTAAGTTAAGAAAAGTTCCAGCTGAGTGAGAAATCAGAACATGGGCAAGTAAATAGAAAGCAGAGATGAAAAGAAGTAGTCTTGTTTCAGTGACCTTAAAACTGGTTCTCAACTGGGAGAAATTTCCCACTCTCAGGGGACATCCCAGGTGTAGTCTGGGGATATCTGTGGTCATCTTGACTGGGTAGGTCATCTGCTACTGGTGTCTAGTGGGTAGAGGGAGGGATGCTGCTAAAAGTGCCACAGCATACAGGACAGCCGAATGACAGAATCATCCAGTGTAGGGGCAGTAAAGGTGTGATACCTTTCCATTCCCATGTAAGGGTCAAAGCCAACACCCCTACAAGAAAAGACAGGTTAACAAGACAAAAGCACAACAATTTGATTTAATCAAAATGACACAACAGGAGCCTCAGAAATGAAGCCCAGATTCCCTGCGGGGTGGGGGGGGGATTAATTTTATGCTTAGATTCCATGAAAAATTGACAGCTCTCTAGAAATGCAATTGGGTGAAAAGTATGAACTCATGGAAATAGACTGAGGCAGGAAAAGCTAGCCAGGGGTCTGCTCAGACTGTCCCTGACCTCTCTGGGTAGAGTTCCTGCCTCCTGGCTATGGCAGGATGACTCTGGAACAAGGGGCTTATGATCTTCTGTCAGACAAGGTGCGTCAGAGGATTTCCTTAGGGCCAACTCCTACACAGAAAGTCAGGGGATGCTTAGAGTGATAAGGTGGCTTTGGGGGAAAGGGGTTCTAGTTTCTTTGACCAACTTTGAGGAGGAAAAATTCTGGTTTCTATCACTTGCTTTGGGGGTGGGGGGGAAAGTGGGAAACAGGGGAGCAGGAGCGGGTCAGAGGCTTCATTTCTGAACCTGTTTCTGAGCCTTCCAGTCTCCTTTACTTAGTTCAATGTCAGCATGCAAGGCACTGGGTTGGGGGGCATTGCTTGAAAATCGGCACCAGCCTATGCTTGGTTTGTTAGGGCCGCCATTACTGAGTGCCACAGACTAGATGGCTTAAACAAGGTGGCTCCTCAGTTATTTTCTCATAACTGTGGAGGCTTGAAGTCCAACACCAAATTGGTGGTGGGATTGATTTTTCTGAGGGCTTTCTCACTGTCAGGGCCATCTTCTCCCTGTGTGGTCACGGAGTCTCCCCTCTGTGTGTCTTATCTTCGTATCTTCTTCTTATAAGGACACCAGTCATATTGGATTAGGGTCCTCCCTCATTCTCTCATTTTAACTTAATTACCTCCTTAAAGAACCTTTCCCCAAATGCATGCACAACTTGAGGTACTGGAGATTAGGATTTTGACATGTGGATGTTAGGGGACAATGTTCAATTCATCATAACCCCAAAAAGTCAATTGTATTGAAAGTGAGAAATTCTGCAACACATTGGAAGTAGTTGGCAAATCTTGGAGTAAATATTGTGGTAAAATGAAAAGCCTTTTGAAATTC